AGAAAAGAATATAAAATAATCAAATAAGAATCATAGATAAGAAGATGAGAGAGGAAAATTCCATTTTGTAGATAAGGGTGCACAGGTACTAGGGTAGGAAACAATCAAGTTAATGAACCAGTCTGATTTTTTCAAGTTTACATTAACCTGGACATTCCTTTTAACTGACCAAGTGTCTAACTGTTAGGGCATGGCATAACACAAGAGGTATGTGTGGATGTTCATGAATGATGACAATGTATTTATTCTGTGATTGTGACCTGGTGCAAGGAACACCAAGTAAAGAGTCCTTCCTTTACAGGCAGAGGGACTTCCAAGGTACAGTGTGGTAAAGAGTGTGATGTGAGCAGAGGACATGGAACAGAACATTCACAGTCTGAAAGTACCACAGTCTGACTACCACAGCACACACTGTATCCATTTTGTGGAAACTCATAAACTTCATTCTATGGAAAAAATATTGGTAGTTGCAAAAGGTTATTCCTTAATACACGGGACACAAACCTAAGGAAAGACCCTAACCTCTCATTATCCAATAAAAACACTCATGGGAAATCTGGGTATCATTTTTCTTATCCATGTTCATGGCAAGAGTCTGCGCTGTGATTAGAACAGTGCATTCAGAGCTCCTTGCAAGGCGGAGACCACGAGGCTCTTACGACTCAACCAATTCTTCTCACCATTGTCATGTTATGAGCGTGACATCATGGGCTCTGTATGGCCTTGAGTTTTTTAAATGGCTCTTCTGCTTTCATGTCCAGTTCCTTACTTAGGCGGAATATCTAAAATTATTTGTAGGATTTCCTTTTAGGTCATGGAGATAAACCAAATTATCAAAGACTGAGAAGCATTCATAGAATAATACTTCATTGAAAATAGCAAAGGTTTAGACTGTAAACTCATCATGAATAGTAGAAAGACTTGGGAGAGGAGAAAAGGAAAAGGCAAAATGGGAAAATGACAAAATCAAACACTGCTCTTGCAAAACCATGTCATGCTAATACAAATTCTGTTTCACATGGAGATGTTGCAATTTAGACTAGAGAAAAACCGCAACTGCTTTGTCCTGGTTCTTATATTACAAGCTGTCCATTTAGAAAAGGTCATGTGTCCTTAAAATAGATGTTGCAAGGCTTTTGTACACCAATTAAAATTACTTATTTATTTAACTGGGTACACAACTCTCTTTTTTAGCTTTACAATTTTAGTTTTGTTGATCGTATATGTGGCTAATAGTGCCTTATGTTGTTTAGCATGGTAGTAAATCATTATATATTTCTTTAAATATTTGAAATAACTGATCATAACTAATGTACATAGATAAATGAGAACTATTAGATTGTTTCTATGTAAATTAGTATATTTCTTTTCTCTCTCCTGTAATTTATAAAGGCTGTAACTGTTTGGGACCATTTCTATAGTTTATATAATATATTGTACTGAAGTTTCAAATATAAATTCACACACAGAGGTAAATGGACTTTCATTCTAGTTAATTTGAAAAAAAATTCTAAGTTTTTTATTGTATTCTAAAGTTCTGAGATTTCTATTCTATTAATGAACAGCACTGAAAGAAATGGGCAAGCCTTATTAACATTAATAACATTTAAGCACTCTAAACATCTTCTTATTAAGAATTTTTAAGTAGTTAAATTGACTGTTCAAAAAGACGTTTTCTTCTCATATTGACACAAGCTTGGCATTGGGTCTGATCCTATTGAAGTTATTGGCATTTTACTGCTGAATTCTACAGGAAGAGAGCCAGGTCTAATGGAAACACTAAGAGATTTACTCCTTAATCCTTCTCTAGAAGAGAGCTTTTAAAATATTCAGAGTTTTCCAAATTATTTGAAATTACACTACAATGAGATAAATGTAGTAGCAACCTTTGCTACTGACATGGCTACTGAGGCAGCTTTTATACTTGGGGCTTCAGATGCTGTACTTCAAAGCCTTGATCATCAAACTCTGCCTCGCTGCATGCCAAGAAAAGGAAGTCTTACTTTAGACCTCAATGGATTGATTGGTCCAGTGCAAAAGGTCAACAAACACTACATATGCCTGCTTGGGACTAAAGCTTTAAGGGGAAATCTTGCCAAGCAGGATTAAGGTGTCTATTCTTCCTTCAGTACGAGTGCATTGCCAAGGGGAGTAAAACATCCATATCAAAAGAAGAAAAAAACCCATTAAGTCCATAGTGACATGAAAATTCCTGCAGAGTTAGTGTATATTTTGCTTGTACAGAGGCACTGTATGGTAAATACATACTTTGGGTCTTACCATTACTGATATATACATGCATTCAGTTAAAGAATGAGATTGACAAATATTCAACTTGGAACAAGAAAAGAGTTATTTATGTTTAGGAACAGAAGAATTTCACACCAAAATGCCTTTGTCAGACCTGACTTGCAAAAAAATGAATTGTAGTTCTGCCTGAACGGTCCAGAGAAGCTGGACAGTTATATCCATGTTTTCTATTTCAGCTAGAACTTTGTTCCTTTGGTCGACCTCTTTTACTTAACATATGTAGGGATAAGAATCAGACTGCTTGCTTATTGCAGCATTGTGGGGGTCTCCATGACTAAAACACAAACATGTCCTTGGCACTTCCAACTCACCAATCACGGGGCTGCCTGGAGACAGCCCGTAAGGTATGTTAAGCAGGATGAGAAATGAGAGACAAAGCAAACCAAGCCTCTGTGTCATGTAGGCACTTCACTGCAAGTGCTCTGCTTCCACTCTTTTAGGTGACCTCTAAGCACAGAGGTTTCTCCTGAGGGGACTCAATTTTTTTAAGTGCATCTAGAAAGAAGAGAAATACCACTTGGCTCTTCTGTAGTGATTTTGCAATGATTAGAACACTTTGCTTGGAAATGGGTTGTCCTCTGCTGCTCCATTGCCTTTGGAGAGGAGTTTAGTAATACTGGGGGTGTCTAGGGAGTCTATCCACAGACTCTGAACTTCATTTCTTAATATCACCCAATACTCACTCTTTAGAATTGTCCCCAGACTTTCATAGGATATTTTCTAGTTTTACATCATCTCTCAGCCTTAAAAAACAGGCGTCCTGTAGGAGTAAAGGGAGCTTTGGCTTACTCTTTGAAATTTCCAGCTAATTTGTGACAGATTGGGAGACTCAGCAGGAGAATCACAGGCATTACAGCTGCAAGTAATATCAGCCACAAGATCATATATATGAGCAAGGAAAATGAGCAAATTCTGTCATGTTTTACTTTTGACTTTTTGTATTGGTCCTACTGTAACTATTTAAAGCTGACATGATTTTAAACAGAGGCCAAGAGCAAGAAGAACAATATGCATATTTACTACTGAAAAATCGATATATCAAACAGAACCTTTTAAACAACCCAAAACAATTGTCCATACTCAGAATACAAAAGGTTAATCTTTGGGAAAAGTTCAAGATACAAGAGGATTTGGACAATGATCGAAAGTAATAAATCAAATTGTTCTTGTGGATAAAACTTAAGTGTTGTGTACAATTTCTACAATAATGCAGATAAACTCTTGCTGAACTAGAAAATGATGAATCAGGATCCTAAACAGTATCTAGGAGTAATCTGTGAGAAGAAATGGAAAAAATCAACTGATTTATTTGGAGTAATATTCTGCTGTCTGTTCTCTTTCATCAAAACAGGGTAACAGAGGAAGGAGCTGTGTCAAAAAACCAGCTCTTAATTAATACTCCACCCAACATCCAATAAGGTTTGTTGGTTTATGGCTAAGACTCCTTACATGAAAAATTAGTGCACCTAATCAGTGCAATATAAAGAAGTCTCCCATAAAGGCAATGCCTCATTCTGCATATTCTCACACCACTTCACACCAGGGAATTGCTCCCACAGGTTCTGCAGCTCCACAAGACACACCCTTGTGTCACTTGTAATATTCTATGAAATAAACCTCAAAATTCTTCAGAATTATATTTATCAGTCTAAAATTTTACTGGAGAGAGCAGGGAGGAAGAACACAAAGACTTGTAAAATCTCTGTGGCAGAAGAGGAAGTGAAATAACTTACAGGAGAGAAAAAAATAAAGAGAAATTTAAGTCATTCTGAAGTGACCTTGACCTACAATTATTGTTTCCTTAGGAGAGAGAACATGGAATGGTTTTTGTGTGTGTTTTGGTTCTATTCAAGGAGGTAAGAGTTAACTGCTGAAGTGAAAGAATGTGTGAAGTGTGCATAGTGCTGAAAGGTTGAAGTTTGTTTTCAAGCTTATCTGAAGGGTGAGGAGCAATTGAAGAGCAAATGTGCCAAGATCTAAGCAGATAGGGAAAATTCAGCCTCCCTCCTAGATTTCTTCCTTGCTTTCTGATTGTTGAAAGTCAGCACTCTATAGATTTTTGAAGGATGAACCTGAAAATAAGTCTACAATCAATATTTTAATATTATTTATTTGATTTTTTTAAGATAACATATCCTAATTAATATATCTTATATAATGACTTTAAATCATATAAAGATATCTCCACTTGAGGATACTCCAGAAGAAACAACATATTTTGTCAAGATATATTGGGTTTTTAGTTTTTGTTTTAAATTCATCAAATCATTTTGCATGTTTATAACCAACTCTATTCCAGAAAACATTTATACATAGACATAAATATACTACTCATGCTGTGGAAATAATGCTAAGTATAAGCTCAGTGTTTTGATGAATCCAGGCCTAAGAACAGAAATGACTGTAAACATTCTGAAAACATCTTAACAGGAAATGCTGCAGGGTATGAAGTGCAAAAACAACTAGCATGATATTCTTGGAATGCAATTATAGAGATAACATTATTGATCTGCTTATTAAATCCCAGAATGGAGACCAAGATAATTAGATTGCAATTCTCCCTCTGCTTTTCCACTTACTGCTTGAAGTTAGACAATATTTTCATTCAATATGTCTATGCATTTATAACTATTATAGAATATATTTATACTTTCACTTAACATTTGTTATTATGTTTTATATTTGTTCAGGTATCCCTGTCTTTCTCTATATTCTGTAATTATCTACCAGTATTTGCTCAACTCCCAACTCATCTGGAAAAGGACAGCAGTGGAATAAATTCTGCAAACTTGTAGTTTCTGGTCCACTGATTTAGGAGAAGAAATACCTTTCCTCAAAGTGAGTATTAAGTGAATTACTATTTAGATGTATTGCACTAAACTGAAATGGAGGTAGGTCAGTTCACTCATATTTGGTAGCTGTAAAAAACTCCTTACTCAATTAAAATAGGTTTTCACTGATTTAGAGATTATTTTTTAAATATCATAGGCCAAAACCCAATTATTTTTGTATTGAATTTCTTTTGTAAACTTGAATTTCCTCCTGTGACATTGGATATGTTTTTGAGCATATTTTTAAAACTTATCAAAAGCAAAAGGGAATAAATTGAGAATAATTTTGCCTTAGTTCTGGGAAGCAGCTGGCCAAAATTACCATCACAAGATCCAATAGGCAGCTGACCAATATTGCTATTACCAGAAAAACAGATAAAGGACATATCCTTGAACTGAGAAGATCTAGAAAGTCAAGATGCAATCTATACACTGCTAGAGGTATATATTGTGCATCTGCGAGCAGGGAGCTACCTATAAGTTACCTTTGTAAAGATCATTATCTTGTCTAGGAGACATCTTTTGCACTTCCTGTGGTTAGGACACAATCAATAGGAATGGTCAACCGAGAAGAATGCCTAGTAAAAGGGATGCTCCACCCTTTCTAAAGTCAAAGTTTACATGTGGTTTTCATGAAACTCTGAGTAAATACATAGTATAATTCTAGACTAGGAGCTGGAGATAGTCCTCAGTATTTAGTTACAAAACACTCACCCATTACCATTAGTCACTAGATACAGTCTTATAGAAATATATCACATATTTATTACTTTAGACTTCAAGATAGGAAATTATTTCTTTAATAGGGACATATTGAGACAGCATCAAAAAAAAGGTTGGCTGTCATCCTAAATTCCCTGCAGATTTATGATACTATCTGAATATGGAATATAATCATTGTGAAGCTGTCCTGTTTACTAAAAATGAGATTTACAATGGTTTGTGAACACCTGCATCTCTTGCAAAGATAGAGGGCCTCAGATATTCAACACCTTGATGCCATATTATCATTTAGATGATACAAAATGCAACACATTCCAGTAAACACAAGGCTGATTTAATTTTGTCTCTGTTCACTTTATTGATTTAGTTGGAATACTGCTGAGTTTACAGTGCTGCATACTAATTCCTGCCAGATTCTGCCTTCACTGCTCACACTGAGCATTATTTTATTCTCAGGGTAGTCCCATGGAACAAAATGGGACACCACCACGTGAAGTAGGGTATTACAATATGGTCCTGGGAGCAGACAGTTGTGTATTGGTTTTATACCATTATATACTACTAAATATTATATATATTTTTATTATTCTAAAAAAAAAAAAAGTTATAAAAAGAGGAGATCTACATAAATCTTTTATTTGCATTTCCACACACTGCACAAATGTTTACACATTCAAATTTACATATGCAGTGGTATTACCCGCTGGAACCAGTGAGAGTCTTTCAAGCACTTAAAAATTTATTACTATTTTAAAGGGAATATTTGCTTTTGCAAACAAGAATAGAGCACTTAGGGACCTCTTTTCTGTGACACCTCCTTTTCTTGGTGCTCTGAGTTTAAGGAGTTTTACAACAATTCTATAAATTTTTTAAATTATTGAACCTTATGTAATATGCTTCTGAGAATAGACTCCAAGTTTTCCTTACTACTTATGGAGTGACTGTGGAGTGATATATCCCACACTGAACTGCTGTTCTTGTGTCTTTTATAATATCAAACCAGATAGTAGCATGAAAGCATCAACATAATTCTTATTAATTATACTTTCCTCGTTCTTCTCTGACTTCCATCATTATTTTTGTTGTTTTTTAATATAACTACCCTTGCACTTATGTCATAAAAAATTCTGCCTTTTTCTCTTTTTTAATATTTGTATTCAAGACAAACAACAGGAGGTTGAAATCAGGCCATTTAAAAGAAACATCTGCTGACATTTATTCATATGCTACATGTTCCACTTTCATCATTGAATGTAATGATAAACACACATTCCAGTCAATAATGGCAAATCCCAGCCAAGCTTTACAAATGGTCTCTTTAACACCTAAATTGACAGCTCGGGAGAATTTGAGATAGAAGCTAAATATGGTACATTTGGACACTATTTCCCTAAGCCTAGAATGACTGAAAGGCTTTAACAAGCACAAACACTGTGGATATGTGGGTATAGTCTAATACAGGTAAATATCTCATTAGACCTTTCAGAACCCTAGAGAAAATACTTCTGTTTTTTTCCTTTGGAAACATGACATATTATTCTTCCTTGAAAAATAAATCAAATTATATTTCATTTGTACAGGAGAACTAATCTTAATAAAGCTGAAATTTGGAATAAATTTGCTTTTAAGAATAGAAATATTTTGTCTGCTTTGGTTTATTATTTCTTATAACAAGCCTGCTAATTGCTAATACATTAAAATATTTATAAATTTGCTTTTAATGCAACATTGTCAAGAGCTAGGTGGATTCTTTACTTAATTCATATGTTTTTGTGTCAGAATGTCTTAGGAACTGCCATATTGCAAAACAGGGTCTCATTTGAAAGCAGTGTTCCTCACTTATGGATAATCAGAGATCGTAAGTAAAAAGCTATAGAGTTTTCATGATAGGAATAAACAGAAAACATCTCATCAGTTTGTGTGCATATAAATATGTTATTATGAAAAAATAATGATCTCTTTTTGCATTTCTATGTGCATTCTTTTCCATTTTAGTTCAGATTGATTAACCTTCTTATAACTGAATCATAAACTGATTTTAAGTCAAGCAGAAAATCACAGCTTTTCTATACTCCTTCATGTGTGAATAGTTTCTCCTTTCAAAACTCTTGTATAGTTCAAAACAGGTCACTCATTATTTAGCAAGAGGGGGGAAAATTCTACACACTCTAAAATAATGAATGTAAAAATAATTATAGGATCACAAAGTTATCTTGTGTAGCATAATGAAAAGTGTTAACCGTGAAGATAATGCTGTATTTCTTGGTTGAAAGAAATCACTTTCCTGATATATCCTTATGAAGAATTGCAAATATTCAGATTCATTTGGTGGTCTTTTAATCCACAGACAATTCACTTGGAGTAGAATAGCAAGAGTCACTGTTTGCAAAAAGTTACAGACTTTTTGTCTGCCCAGGGACTCAGCTCAGCAAATTCATGCTATTGGATGTAGGAGCCATTGGATCTGCTTTTGTCCCAGGTGTATGTTCATAGCTACCATTATTTGTGTTTACATTTCCTTTGCTTTGCACTGACACTGAAGGAATACACGAGGCCTAAAACTACATTGAGAGTCTATGTTTTTTATAATAAAAATCAATGAATTTCATACATGACAGTGTTTGCAATACTGCAGCATAAATACATTTAAAAAATTGATGGACATGTTCAATGCAAAGTTAATATAATCTGAGATGAGCTTTTGCAGTGGAGAAAGAAAATAAAGTGTTAAAATCCCAATAATAATATTTCTGTTGTTATTTAAGCATTTTTAAACTATGCTAACAGACAAGAGGTTTGAGGATCTTTATTTTGTTGAGATTTGCTGTAGTGCAAAATAAGATTGCTTCTGAATCAACCTTTATTTTGAATCAAAATAAAATTACAATTGGACTTTTGACTTCTAAATTAATGGAACAGAAAAATTCAGAAAAACATTTAAGTCTACAGAATTGCATTTTTTATTGAAATACAAATCTGCATACCACTGCAGAATTAATCCAAATATTGTGCCAGTGAACATAGAATTCATTTGCTATAAAAGTTGCATAAAAGTTAAATGATCTTCAAGTAGACCATTTGGCAATTGGTGTATCAGCTTCTTAAATCTGGAGTCTTTGATAAAGTATGGGAATGAATACCAGCTATCAAACACGAGCAGTATGATTTACCCAAATGCAGGTGCGGCCACAGTTCTGGCAACCACTGAATTGTGGTTAGAAACAACCTACATTATGACCTAGAAGAAGATGGACCAGTTTGATTTTGTTAAATGATTAAATTCTCCACTAACGTTTCTAAGCAAGTCACGTGGACTAAATATTTATGGGGAGTTATCCCCAGACACAGGAGGACAAATTCCATATCAAAGCCTCCTCCAGTGGAAAATGGTTTTCACATTCTAGTTTTCTATACTTACAAACATTTCTCTTCTTTACAGCATCTAATATATATACCCCATTATCATGAATATTTAACTAGGTGTGTAGTAACTGCTACAGTACAGCAAGTATTCCCAAAACCAAGATTCAGGTGTTGTTATTCTGACAGCATAAATTTCTCCATCAAGGAGAAATAAAGATATAACAATCATATTGGATTTTTCCCTAAAATGAACTAGGATTTTAATATAGTAATCATGAAAACCATAAATATTACACTTTATATCACTGGAAATGCTGCCTTGTTTTCATAGGAGTGGTTTGAAAACCATGTGGGCAAAGTCTTATTCCCATCATGCATCTTCTAAAATAAATTCTGAGATGGCTTCTGAATGAGTAGTTTCTTTGACGAAAAACTGTTCTTTGCCAGTCTACTAAAAGAATTAAGAAAAAAAAAATCTAGATTACTAGAAAGATGGGAAACACTGAGTGCTGGGCTTTATCCTTTTACTCATACTGTCCAACTTTGAAGGTTTAAATCTGCATGAGAATTTTAATGTTTTAACAAAATCTAGAAGCTTTGCTAGAAGCTTTTGAGGTCTGGCTTGTTATCAAGTATGTAAGCAAAAGGATGTGATGGCCTTTTTAACTTAGAAAGTGTCTGCTCTTTACGTCATGCATCTTCCTCCAAAACATGCTTGTGAAGGCTTTCTGCTGATGGAATTGAGTGTTCTAGACTAGAATAGCTCAACTGTCTTCAGCTGAAAGATGTTCTGGATAAAATCCAAGGACCATCTTTTATTTCCCATGTGTTCCGAACTGGTGAGTGAACATTTGTATAAAAACAGCCCAATCATCTTGCAAAACCATGATTTTATTTTTCTATTTTAAAAGTATT